ATAAAAAACAGTGAAGAAATCTTACTTTCTTTTCCTTCCTTGTTTTTTTGTTTGTTGGTTTGGTTTGGTTTTTTTGAGGGAGGGGGAGTGGATAGTGAGAGTTACATTGGCTGACTCTTAGGCACAATTTCCTTAGAGTGTTAACTGAGATATCACTCTGGCAAAAGGAACCAGGGCAAAGGAGCAGCTGCATTTGTCAGCAGCCTAAGCTGACTGACCATTAATTATCATGATTATGTTTTTACAAATCACTCAATATTTCATGTGTGTAATGCCCTTAGTACTGAGTTTGGCTAAAACAGTGGTTAGCTACACTAATTAGTTGAATTCATAGACAAGAAATTAAAGTTAGTAAACAGAGGCTGATACATAAATTAATACAGAGGGTCTATCAATAGGTCAGTGATACCAGTCACCACAGCACAACTGTGTTGTATGCTCCGCTCCCATACTCACTACTCTGAGCATCTGCTGACACCTGCTCGTGGAGCACTGTGGCTGTGAATGAGAGCACAATGGGGGCTCCCATGTGGCCCATATGCTTCAGGCCCAGGTGTCTAAAGGGAGTGGAGTGACAAGGCTTTAACAAAGGTGGTAAAGGAGTGAAAAAAAAGGAGAAACCTGGCTGTTTCCCCAGCAGCCCCAGGCCCAGACAATCTCTGCTCCCTGCTGGCCCTGGATGAGGACCTCCAGGAGCATCTCAAAGCTGTTGTCTGAGCCCAGGGCTGCAGCCATGTGGGCAAGGCTTCATCTGCAGAGTTGCCAGGATGGCCCTGTGTATGACGTTAATATGTGATTAAAGAAAATAAAGTGTTCCCCCTGACAATATGCCAAGGCCCCTACTCTCAAATCCATGATCATTCTGCCCAGAAAAAATGTCTTTTCAGTCCTCATCATAACTTGGGCTTTCCCTGGAGCTAAAATGAGCCAGTTACACATCAGAGAGAACAGGGGCACAGTAAGCTCTACACTGATGGTCACACAAAATAACACCATACTGAACAATCCTGGATACCTTCCTTTGGAGTTTCTCCAGTTACAGAAGGATAAGATAGGAGATAACTGTCATGGCAAAAAAAAAAAAAAGGTGTCTGTGTAATCTAAATTGTAAAAATATACAGGCAAACAGCCACACAAAAAACGTTGTACCTGTGAATGTTCCTGATAGTAGGTGAGAAGTCACCTCAACCGTTCCTCCCTGACATTAAGTATTGTGAGATTTTGTCAATTAATGCTTAAAAATGTATGCTTTTTTATTCATTTTCTATTACTTTCTGTGATATTTAAAATGTTTTCATATTTTTATTAAACTTTGTACTTTTTCCCTTAAACTGGCAATTCCTGACTTTACTACTACTGGGTTGATGATTGTTTTGTAACTAATTCATCATCACATATTTATCAAAATCATTTAGTTATTTGCATTTCATCCTTTCTTATGATGCTTGATAAGAAAAATAATCACTGAAATAAATTTAACACTAAGCAAAAAATGTGGCACTTCCTAAAACAGCAGGCAATTTTTTTGATGGCTAGACTGAAAATACATGCAAAATGTTTCTGATACTTGTGTTTTAGGAACCTGTTGCTTGAGCTGTGGGAAGACTGTACACCCTACCAGAAGTGCTTGTGGCTCCTGCTCTTCAGCAGCTGAGTGATGCTTATATGTATCCCGGAAGCTGGGAGGCCGGATGCAGCTGAAACCAGTCCCTGCACAGGGAGGCAGACAACGCAGTGGGGACCATCCAGCCCCTGCCTGCCACTGGGTGGTAGAAGGGGCAGCATTTAGCATTCTCGTTAGGTACACTTAGCATCAGGGAGCAAAAAATTAATATAGCATCACTCTGACAATTTCCATAGCTTCAAGATTCAAGCTGGAAACAGATTTGCCTCGAATGCTATGGCACGTAGTTTTCAGCGATTCCTCTTCCCTTGAAAAAAAATAAAAAATTATTGATTTTTAGAGGGCGAGGAAGGAAGGGAAAGGGAGAGAGAGAAACACTGATTGGCTGCCTCCTCCACGCCCCCTACCAGGAATGGAGCCACAACCCACGCACGTGCCCGGACCAGGAATCGAACCAGCAGCCTCTAGGTGCTCAGGACAATGCCTGACCAACTGAGCCACATGGGCCAGGGCAGCAATTTCTCTTCCCCTGGACAGAAGAGGAAAAAAAACACACCAGATTTTAAAACATCTACAAAAGGTGCCAGCTTACAAAGAGATATCTGAAAGGATTAATATGCCATGATTCTATGGAGTAACCAAGCAACACAGAAACATTCTTTTTTAACATAAAAAGACTAACCAAAATTTAAAGAAACACTTTTGAAAGTAAAAGCCGTATCTGATAAAATCTCAAATTTCCTGAGATCTGCACCTGTGAGCTACATGGGAAGTACAAGGAACCAGATGTTTGGCAGTGCTTGCTAACAAACTCCTTCCTGCTGCAAGATGGCATGTCTCTCAACATGACAATCTAAGGATGCAGGGACGTGACAAAGGAAATATGTGATCTGTTCTCCATGGAGAGCCTCTCTGGCTCTCCTTCAGCTGCACACGGTACTCTTAGTGAATATCTTTCTAGAAGACGGATTACATGTCGGGCTGTAAGCCAAGCTCAGAAAGGCAGAAAGGCTAGATTTCATCGTTTCATCACAGTGTCAGGATAAACAGCTACAATTTCTCAAACACTGCTTGCATAGGGTTTATTATATACCAGTTTGGGGTCCCTGAATGTGTACTCTTCATATGTTGGTAAATGGAAATTTATTTCACAAAAATGGTTCAAGTGCTCCTTCACCAACACATTCAAAACACAAGAAGCAGAAGAACTGAGAAAGGGAAGGGAAGGTGGTTCAGAGGTGGAAGGATCCATAGTATCACATAATAGCAGAAAGAACTATAACAAACACTTTAGTAAAACATGATAGTCTCTTCCGTGCAATTATCCCTGAAAAGAGCAGTGATTGGCAGGTAAGGAAAGAAAAAATGGAATCAATTATAAATTAACTGGTGAAGAGAATAAACTGCCAACCAGTTTCAAGCAGGAAAGATGTATAGCATTATCCTCACCCTTTTCTGAGTAATTGTACAGCCCTGTACAGCAGGGGCTGCTGTCGCTGCAGGACCAGGCTCAGCCGTGCAAAGTCCTTGGTGAGACCAGCTTCCTGCCAGCTGTTCCCTAAGGCCCAGCAGTAATGAGACTTTCACCAGCCTGGTCATTCTGCTCTGTCCTCCCAGGTGGCTGGCAGGAAACTCTGGTTAAGATTCTGGATAACAGCTGCTTTCAATCCTAGATATTCGTAACACAACAGAGACCGTAATGAAAAGTCTATAAGAAAAGCATAACTCACTACTTGTATAATTTCGGGTGTAAGGAAAGCTGTAGGAAATCTTTTGAGCATCTTTTAAATCATGAGGTAAAAATAACCCTGTCTTCATAAGGCTAAGCCTTGTTGTCTCTATTGTGCAAAGCACGATATTGTGTAAGTCCAAGAAGTCATGAAAGACAGGCTGTATGCAACATTATCTGTCCATGAAAACTATGTGAGCTTAAATGACCCAGTGAGTCTTTAAAATAAGTAACAGAACATAAAGAAAGAAAAACTTTCTTGAGAGAAAAAAATATCACAGATTCGACAGAAAACTTCTAAAATTTTCACATTGTATGACAAATTCCACGCCGTATTCTATCCTTATGGTTATATTATCAGCACCTCCATAATAAATACTTTTAATTTTTCCCTTGAAAATGCACAGGTGCTTTAAAAAACAAAAACAAATAAAAGTAATAACACTGGAGTGGCTTCCAAGAGAAAAGCTTTCAAATAAAACATAGTTTTTGGTAGATCTTAGAGAAGATGGGACCCATCACTTATAAAATAGTAGAAATAATCCGCAACAATCCAGATTTTGATTAATAACACAGGGCTTAGTCAGATGAAGAGGCGTACAGACATAGAAGTCAAACTCCCATCATTATCTCTAGAAGCATTCCTGAGACTTTCTTTGAACACAAGTTTTTCTCTTCAAAAATATCAGAAAAACAAACAATGGACAGAGGAAGATGAATCCTGCTTGGGAAGACACTGAAAGGAGTTCAATGCCACAGTTCACATCTCCAGGAGTCCCACGGGATGAGCTTCCACCAGGACCACCTGGTCCCACTAAGCAAGAACAGTCCTCAGTGACATTTAGCTTATTTCTCCACCCCATCAAAACCAAAAAGAAACAACGAACAGACAAAGAACAGTTAAGGCTTCAGTTCTTCAGTTACAGCATACAGAGCATCTAAGTGTTTACAGTTACATGATGTTATCCAATGAAAAAACAAATATACTTGCCACCTGACAAAACCAGTACTATTTAACGAGAGCATGGTCTATGCCTCACAGTCTCATCACTGGGTATAACTCCTGTTCAGTGTGCTATATAACCAACTTTCCCATTCATAGGCAAACAAGCATTTGTTTTTATAGATTATACTTCCATAGCCCCATTTTTAAATACCCAATGTTACTGCAATCATTTTATGATTCTCTGAAACAATTTTGAAGACTACATTACATTAAATGAAAAGAATACATGATCATTTATTTTACCACTTTCCCATTGGACATTTAGGTCACTTGCCAGGTAGGTTTATATTTATCTACACGATTATTTGACGGTTTGTCTTGCAAGACAGGTTGCATAGCTGTGTCTGTTTTGGTCACTCCTCTCCTTCCACAGCAGTACCAGAACCACAGCGGGCAGACAGCACCTGGCTCAAGTCATCCTCACCCACAGATACTCCTCAGCCACCTCAGCTGTACACAGTGGTCTCTCTTCTGAAATTTCCCCCAAGTTCTATTTTTGTAACTCCCTTGCAGGGAAAAGAGAAATTATGCTATTTCTTGAGCATTGTTATGTGCCAGCCACTGCACTAGTCATATTCAAGCAGAAAGTCTGTGCCAAAAAGGCTTGCACCTCAATCTAGAGGACATGTCAAAAAACCTACCATGAAATGTTCGATCAAGGGACCTTCCAGGATTCTTCAGTGGCCTCATCAAGGAGTCTGACTCTGGAAAAAGCTCAGGTCCTACTCAAAATGGCATCTGTGTCCCCTATGCCTGGGTACAGTCTGAGAGGACATAATTCCACAGCACACTGCAGCTCAGGGGATCTGCCATGGTGGCTGGTCCCAGGGCAGGGAGATGCGAGCCAGCAACTCAGGAGTGGTGCACTAAAGTGAGTTCTAAACACCTCTGATTTTATCAGAGGGCATTAGCAGAACTTTGTGACATCATCTGCAAAGACAGGGAAAAATGTAAAGGAAAAACCCATGCATTATAAGTCACTAGCCCATTCTGGAGAAACGGGGTAGAAAGTAGGATTCTGAGACTTCCTTGCCTTGTGAACAAACATGTTGTACTTATTCTCATAGGTACTTTCCCCAAATAAAAGCATCATTGTGCGACCACCACCCCCTCAAATTGCAAGCCAGAAACAGAGGTATGAATTATCACTCATTCAAGTTAGCAAAGGCCTCTATTTTCTTAAATTTAAAAGGACACTTTTAAAACTAATAAATTACTAAGATTTTTACCTCACATATGAAAAACACAAAAACCACAAGGCTTCAACACCAATGGTTATTCAAAAATATTGCCCTGGCCAGTGTGGCTCAGTTGGTTGGAGAGTCATCCTGTGTACCGTTTCTCTCTCACATCAATGTTTCTCTCTCTCTCTCTCTCTTCCTTTAATCTCTCTAAATTCAATAAAAACATATCCTCAAGGGAGGATTAAAATTAATCAATTAATTAATTAATTTTAAAAATATTGTAAAACACTTTCCTGAGAGGCCATGAGAAGGAGAACCAAACTATCCCAGCCAACAGCAAGCACCAAGACACCAGACAGGTGAGGCAAGCCAACTTGCACTTCCAGCCCAGCCTACCTGCCACCTGAAATCAGCTGCATGAGTAGCAGCCAAAACTATGTATAACAACAGGAAGGACTGCCCCATCAACCCACAGAGTGATGGAAAACAATAAATTACTGTTTAAAGTCTCCTGAAAAACAAAGACATTTGCTCTCCTTCACATCACATATTTTGAGTAGCTGTATTTTTTTTACCATAATTCACATCTTTAAGCAGTTGAGCAAGTATCTAATTACACTGTATGAATGATCCTGGGAAAGTGCTACAGCATTTCCTATGGTACATCTCTGATGACTTCCTAAGGATAAGCCATTGTGTGGGAAGGATTTGGGGGGCAAGAGAGAAGAGGGAAAAGTGGTAGATGGAAGTTCCAACATCAGCCAGATTTCTTTTAAAAACAGGATAACTTTCAAAACCTAAGTTATTTAAATGACAGATTTCTACATGGATGAAAAATAATTCATGATTTCACTTATATGTGGAATCTAAAAAACTTAATAAACAGATGAACAGAATAGATTCAATGACTTGAAAGCATAGATGAGACTGACGGATGTCAGAGGGATGGAGGAGGGCGAGTGGGTGGAGGGAGAGAGAGTAACCAAAGAATTTATATGCAGATATGCACAACCCAAGGACACTGACAATGGGGGAGAGGGACTGGGGAGGGGGTGGGACAGGGTGGAACGGGTCATTGGGGAGAAAAAGGGACATCTGTAATATTTTAAACAAAAATAAAATTTAAAATAATAATAATAATAATTCTTGAGTATACACTAAACAAAGACAACATCTACCTAATGGGGATGAAGCAGATATAACAAAGCTTAGTACAAAATGTTGCTCTCTATGCAATGCTCTCACCTCACCAATCTTGCACTATCCTAACTTTGTCTCCTTCAAGGCACAGAGGCCAGGGATCCATTATAAAAGGGAAATATAAATACAAGAATGTGGAACCTCAACACTCCCACAATCCCTCGATCTCTACTCACATTGTTTCCTTCCCTCTGCTCATGTCCAAGTCTCGCCTTAAAGGCAACTTCTACACATTTCAAGAACACATCAAGCCCAATGCACAATCCTACATGATCTGTTAAGACCTCTTTTATACCTAATTTTAAAAGACTATGAACACCATGAAAAATACAAATCACATAACTTATTGAAATTAACACTAATGTCAGAAGAATAATGGGGCAATGGTCATTTTGTACAGGTGACTCACAAGCAGGAAAAATCTATTACTTTTCCTCCCTTTGGGACCCAAGAGCAGGTCAGATCCTCTCTGAAAGACCAGCTCTCACCCTTAACTCTGGCATTTCCTATACAGATGGGAGATGAATCTTATGGTAGCTTTCACTAAAAAAACTTTAACAAGGTTCTTTTGACACCAAAAACAAGAACTCTTAAAAAGCACAATCTTCTCAAGTTTAAAGAGACCAAAATCAATTTCTCAACCTCACCTATCCCTATCAAGAACTTTTACATTCTCTCAACCACTATTTCATCTACAAGAAAGGCTCTTGACTTTAATATCCGTGCCAGTCTCTGCATTGCCTTAAAAGTACAGAACGCAAAGATGTGAGAGAAGGAAGGAGCAAATGCTTTCTGGCCATAGCGTACAGCTGGCACTTTGGAGAGGTAAGGGCATGCAACACCCAGCAGTGAACAGAGCAGCAGTGGGTTAAACTGAAGGTCAGTCACTGGTCAGCTGCTTTCCCTCTCCATTTGTGGACCTTCCCATCATTAACGCATCTGCAGCTGTCTTCCTCCAACCTGCCCTCACTGGGCTGACCACTGGGAACAGTGTGTCTTCAGGGAGGATAAGACCCATGACCAGCCAGGAGCATCCATGCCACTTGGGGGCTGGCATGGCATTACCCAGTGTGTACTCTGAACACTAGTTTCTCAAGATATTCAGGTGGAAAAGTTTCCCAAACCTTCTGGAAAACAGTGGACTTTACCCTCCCTAAAGATTCACAATGGATATTTGTATCTTCTGAACCAATTTGACTTTGGGGACTATTTTTTACCACATTCAATTTATTAATATCCCAGCATCTTGTGTTCTAAAACATCTGGAAAGCACTGAGTTTGTGCTTCTGAAGTCATCTCAATTATTGTCTATGTTCTAGGCAACCCAGGAAAGTGGGTAAAGCATACTGTGTGCCTCTGCTGGCCCCCAACAGCTAGGAACTTATTTCCTTAGCCCTTACCTTTCCAGGTGAAAGGAGTGCTGTTTTTACCACACACAGCTCACCACTGAAACATACATTCTGCTATCCATCTCAGAACTTTTAAGTCCCATCCTGGCCTCTTCCTTCCTCAGCCAGCTAACTCGGAGTCTATAATAGGTAGGGCATGGGTGCCAGGTGCTGACGATGGTGCCAATGCTTCAAGGGAAAAATCCCCAAGTCCATTTATTTCTTCTAAAACACTCTTCCTTTTTTTTTCTTATCAGCAGATAGGTGTTATTCCTTTAAAGAACAATTTAAACCACATCCAAGGCCTTACCTTACAGACACAAACCAAACTAGCCACTTAACGCATTAAATATTGAGGTATAAAACATACAATGGGGGAAATGCTTTGCCATCTGAAGCTTACAACAAACTTTGCTCCATCAACAGCTGAGCTCTGTTAGCACTTGGGTGTGGTAGAGGGTGAGAATAGCTGCACAACCAAAGGCTAATAGCTGTTTTCTACAAGGCTAACGCATTTTAGACTACATTGGTAGGGATATATTTTGATGAAGGGAAGAGGGGGGAAAAGGGCTAATCCCTCCCCATAGGGCAGGGATTAGCCTTTCTGGGGCCACTGCAGAAAAGCAGGCTTCCCTTGCTCATGCTAAGTGACTTCTCTGCAGACCTTGGCAACATCCTGCAGCAGCGAGTTCTCTGCACTGGTGCCCTGGTTCACCAGGAATGGCATTCGTCCATCAAGTTCCTAGAGGTGGCCATCCACACTGTTAAACAGAATAAAATGGAAGCGCACTCTGTCATCCACCCGACACTGGCCTTCCTGCGCAGGCCTTCATGGGCTGCCTGAATGGCCTCATTCTTTTCAAAACATTTTGTTCTGTCTTCAGGGGACAACTTCTCCATTTCCGAAAGAAACTTTTAGGACTGAGCTATCCTCAGATTCCAGTTTGTCTTGATTACCGGCCACTGTGTGCCTAAGTCCAATGGTGCCGCGGGACTTCCCAGCGTCCTGCTTCATGAAGTGCACTTCAGGGCTGACTTCCTGCCCCTTCGGTTCCTCGGTCTATTGTTCCTGACGTTCTCGTGCTGGGCTCCCCCGCCCCAGGACGCCCACGAGGCACCGCCGCTGGCAGCCCCTGCTGGGCCGGCACTTTGTTCAGCATCTGGGGTTAACAGCCATCAGTTTGAGCTGCATCTTCATGAACCGCAGAGGAAACCACAACCCAGAGATGAGAAGCCTCTTCCTTTCTTTAGACAGATCCAGGTTTCTGGCCTACATCATTTCCCTTCTCCCTGAAGAACTCCTAACATTTCTTGCCAGCCTGTTATACTGGTAACAAATTCCTTTAATTTTTGTTGGTCTTTATTTCTCCTTCACTTTTGAAGGATAATTTTGCTAAATACAAAATTCAAGGTTGATTGTGTTTGTTGTAATCTCTCCTTGCTTACATGGTTTCTGAAGAAAAGTCTGATTTAATTCTTATTCTTGTGCCTTTACAGGTAAGGTGTTTATTTCCTGTGGCTTTCTTCAGGTTGTTCTCTTTAAATTTTATTTTCTGCAGTTCTAATATCATTTATCTATGTGTAGATGTTTTGGAATTTGCCTGCATAGTGTTCTCTGAGCTACCTGGATTTGTGGTTTCATATCTGTCATCAAACTTCTCAGCCATTATTACTTCAAACATTTCTTCTTTTCGTTTCTCTGTTTCTTCTCCTTTTACTATTCCCATTACCTCTATATTACATCTTTTATGATTGTCCTACAGTTCATATTTTGTTCTAGTTTTGTCATTCTTTTTTCCCTTTGCTTTAATTTGGGGAAGTTTCTAATGACCTATCTGCAGGCTCACAAACTGTTTCCGTGGCCCAGTCCAGACAACTGATAAGCCAAAAGGCATTCTTCACTTCTGTTACAGTGGTTTTTTATCTCTAGCATTAACTTGATTCTTTCCAGAGTTTCCATCCCTCTGCTTGAACCCATCTGTTTTTGCATTTTGTCCACTTTTGACATTAGAGCCCTTAGCATATTAATCATGCTTATTTTAAATGCCCGGTCTGATACTTCAAAAATCTCTACCATATCTGACTCTGGTTCTGATGCTTCATTTGTCTCTT